GTAACTGCTTCGCGGCATAAATATTGGTAATAAATATTATTTTATTGAAATATTGACTTATTAATTATAATTTAAAAGAATTTAATAGATCATATATTGACACCATGAATTTTATTCAGGTTTTACTTGAAACTTAGTGCAGTAATAACTACGGATTATTGGTATGTTTGGAAAGGTCGTTTCGAATAATTTTGTTTCAATTATGTAATTAATTGAGATTTTTGAAGCAGTACTTTTTATTTTCATGCAGGTATGGAAAAATTTTCGATATCAAGTTGTATATAAATACATTTTTCTATGAAAAAAAAATTTTAATATTACCTATATCAACGATTCTTTTTTTAGGATGTTTCTGGTCAACTATATTAGTAAACAGCAGAATTAAATCTAAAATGAGTATTGATGTGTAAGTTTGAAATGTTTTATTATCATTAAATAAAAATTTATCATTTTTTTTTCTGTGAAATAAAGATACAATTTATAAGCTACTTAATCACTTTTCGTTTGTGACAATGTTTTATATTTCAAGTATATTGTCGATTTATTGAACAAATATTCTAATTTTAATATTTATAACGATTCTTAAATAACTGATATTTTTTAAATCAAATATTTTATTAATTTATTTATTTTTGCAGATTCTATAAAATAATAATTCCAAATAAAATTAATTTTGAAAACTACAGTAAATAAAAATATTGAGATCTTTAAACATGGAGCACAAGATATTTCGTATTTGAATGTATCTATATATTTCTTTAAATTCATCTAATAAATATTCAGTCAATATTTTTTGCTTGAATGTAAGTATAATTAATCATTTTTTATTTTTGATTAGAGACATTGAAATTGAAAAATAATTTGTTCTATAAAGTAATACTGTTATATCATATAATTAAAAGTGGATAAATTCATAACTAAATAAGATTTTCAATAAAATTAATTTGTAATAAAATAATATTTGTAATAATCTAATAATTGACAAAAAGCTTACATTCTTCTCTTAAATTTATTTAATCTAAACAAATTATCTTACTAGCCGCCAATAAAGTAGATAATCTTTCAATTTTATTTTTATATGCAACAATGGCTAATTAAAATCTGATAGTTTTATATTTTTAATTAAAATATTTATGTTAGAAAAAAATTTTTTCGTCTGATTTTTAATTTTTTTACAATTTATTTTTCTGTAAAAATAAAATATCGTAATTGTAGTTTATGTACTTGTGTATATAACTTATAAACATTTTTGACTTAGCTATTTGTATTATTATTATCATTATGATTATTATTAACATTGTTATGTTCAAACAAATGACTATTTGTGTGATGAGTATTATATCGAAAGAACCTTCAAGAAATAAAAAAGAATTATAAAACCTTTATTTTATAATTGAAAATTAAAATAAATCAGAATTATTGCGTAAATATAAAAATAATATTTAGTGAATAGATATTCTTGTGAATCAGACAAGGTGTGAATTAAACATTAAAAATTTAAGTAAGGTGCTTTCATGGAATTTTTTGTAATTACTTAATTGGCTAACTGTTGTTATTGATTTTTTTTTAGGTATTACTAATTTTTCAAGTAAGAATGCCACCTAAGTGTAGAGTACCGATAGACGATGCAATTAATGTATTGATAAAATATATAAGTTATTTTGCATCGGATCAATTACCTGAATGGTCTTCTGATGTATGGGATAAGATGTCAAATGAACCTGAATTTAAAGATAAGTGGAATGTTCCTTGTATAAGAACAAACATCAAAGAAAATTCATATTCGACACGATATTCTAACGAAAGCAAGGGAACGATGTAGTTATTATGTACCTATAAAAAATAATGACATAAATAATGATGATAATGACCTCGATGATGACATCTACGACGATAGCGACCAGGACGACGTTAAAAAAGATCCAGATTATTATAGTAATGTGTATATTAATGAGCAGAAGGATTTTGAGTGTTTTGATGTAGTACTTTCCAGACATCTATGGAACTCGATTCAAAACGTTACTCCTATTGTAAAGAACGATATCAACTTTCCCGGTCTTCAACCTAAAGTATGGACTGATACTCTGACATTAGAATTTTGGAAGCAGTATCGATTAAAATGTGCATTTGTATTTAAAAAAGGTACTATTCAACAATATGGACATTATTATGCAACAATGATAGGACGATGCAAAAGTAAGAAATGTGGAAACAATTTATTTTGTTATATCGGAAACGATCCGGGTATTGATGGTGATGTTATCATAAAAATGAATTGTCGAGACACATGATTCGAGAACCATGAAGATCTGAGACGTCCACTTGGAGGAAAAAAAAGAGAAGAAATGAGAAAAGTAGTTAAAGATAAAGGAGTAAAAGCAAGTATTAATGAAGCATCCCGAAAGCTTCTTCAACCTGGAGACACTCAATGTCCAGTGATAAGTAAAGCGAATGTTTTATACCAATTAAAAAAAGAATCAACAGAAAATGAGTATGATGTGAAGCCAGAAGACAGACGAGATTTGATAAAAGCTCTTATGTGTGTAGATGAGACCCCCATTTACCGTAATTCGATCAAAGTTGTAAGTGCTTCACCTTTCTGGGTTTTCTATGGAACACCTTCCCAAATCCATTGTTATCGTGAGTATCAGCGATTACACAAAGACTTATCATCAATTAGCATCGACGCAACTGGTGGGGTGGCCCGAAAATTTATTGATTTTGATGAACGTACAAGTGCTATCTTCTTATACCAAATCGTCATAAATTTCTATAATACTACTATTTCGATATATCAAATGTTGTCGGAATGTCATGACACAGATGTAATTACATTCTGGTTAAGAAGATGGTTACGGCTTGTACGTGATTCTTCGACTGTTCAGAGGATTCCTGGCGAGGTTGTATGTGATGGTTCACGTGCGCTACTAAACTCAATAGCTTTAGCATTTAATAATCAATCATTACCCAGTTATATCGAGTCGTGTTTTAATAAAGCTAAAAATAATACTTCATAGAAACCGAATACGTATATTCGGTTGGACACAGCCCACTTCATTCATGCTGCCAGCTCTTGGAAATGTTGGAAGTCGGTAAATCACAAGAATGTGAAAAATTTTTATTTGTATTGCATTGCACTGTTGATTCAGTGTAATACATTGAAAGACTTCGAAAAAATGTTAGTATTGATTTTAATTGTTTGTTCTACCGAATTTGATGATTCAACAATTTTTTATAATCATAAATATATTACACCTCTAAATGCTCGAACAGAATTAGAAAATATAATTGGTAATAAAAATAGTAAAGATTTGTATCATGAAATTGAAGAAAATATAAAAAGTATGGACTTCGATGCTGAAAAAAGTACTATTTTGAATGACGAAAAAGAAGATCCAAGTAGTGACATGTCTACCATTAATTCATGGATAAAAGATCTTGTTGCTATTTCAAATAATGTTCAAACTACTGGTAAAGTATTAAACTGTTTTTATGTACCATTATTCAAAGAGTCCTTTCTAAAAACTGTCAAAGATTTTCCACTGTGGACACAAGTATGTACTCCAAAAAATAAATTACGTGCTACGTCATCATATATTGAGCAAGACTTTAGAGATTCAAAAGAAATGCTCAATCGGCAAATCGGTCTTCCTGCGCGAGTCGACATTTTAGTGAAAGCTCATTTGAAAAATCTTTTAGGTGGTGTGGTTGTATTTCAAAACAAGCTCACAAAATTTGTCGATGATAATATCGATAAATCTACTATATCTAACGATTCAAATTGTGATGATGCTAAGTCGGAGGAAAAAACAGATGGGGTTAAGGTTGAAAATTCAAATGATGCTAAGATTGAGGAAAGAGCAGATGATGAGGTTGAAGATAGTATTGATTTTGAAAATTGGCGCGGCTTGGGTAACGATATGAAACATCAAAACTTTGACTGGATTAATTATGCAAATAATTTAAATCACCCTACACAAGATATGAAAGCCGAGAATTCAACTTTGGAGCTAAATAACGATTCTGTTATAGAGAATTTGAATAAATCTATTGAAAGCGAGCATGATTACAGCTTAAAAATTAGTACTCCGAAAACTACCCAAATCTCTGAAAGAAACGTATTAGATGCTGCTGTTGAAAAAAAGAGAAGGAAAATTAATAACGAAGGTAAATACTTTAAAGACTGTCCTGAACTTAAATTGATAGATAATTTACTTGCATCTCAAAAGAACAAAGAAAATGTTCCTACTACAAAAAAAAAAAAGGCAAACAAACAGAATCATATTTATTGATAAATGGGAATCTAAGTGGACCAGTTATTCACAATGGGGTAGCTTTTTTAGCTTATAATACTTGTCCGTTTGACAGTATAGTACAGTTAATTTTTAATGGAGCATTGGAGAGTAAAAGCTTTCATGAATTTTTAAATTGTTCTGAAAATTCGACTTTTAAAGTTGCATTAAATTTAATGAAAAATGGTGTGAAGAAAAATGGGCAACTATATAATGATCGGTTTAATATTTTACACAAAATTTATCAACAACAAGAATTAAAACAACCAATGAAATGGATAATAATAGTATTTTTATTATTATAATGAAATGGATAATAATAGTATTTTTAATATAATAATAGTAAGATACTGACTAGCAATAATATTATAATAAATAATAAGGGTAGTAATAATTAGTTAAACACCAAAAGTAATAACTATTGTAACTAACAAATATAAGAATCGAAAGTATAAGAATAATATAAGATAGCATGACAGCCCTCACATATGTCTATGTGTGGGTACTTAGCTAGTATACAGTAAACCTACATATAAAAGCTATAAGTATTAGTGTATATTCGAATATATGTTATTGTATGCGTACTGTAAACGTTAGATGAAGACATGTATATGTTAAGTGTATTGGTGTGAACCAGAGAGGGAGGAAGCGAAACTGGAAAACTCGGACCTAAAACCGAGACTCCTTGCAACGACACTTCTCCCTGAGAGCTGTAACCGAGCACTTGCTGTAGCTGAAACCACTGAATAAAATCAAGCTCTCTGATAATTATTATTTATCATTTAAAACAGTCCACCTAACTAAAGTTTTCCCCTTTTCTTAATTTAATCCAACAAATCCCATTATCAAAACCGAATTAATAAACATTAATAAATTTAAATTGATCCCGCGTGACTACAACTCACACTTCAGTCCAGAAGAGGCGTTACGAGCAATCTAGTGACCTCGCTGGACATAACAGAACAGAAAATAGTAATTATATTAATAATAATCATCATATCTTCCTATTTCTTGTGTAATATTCTGGTAATACCTAAAGTGATTATTCTTTTCAATTACCAGTAATTACCTCAATTAAAAGTGGAAAATACAATTATATTTTAATAGATTTTAAGCTTACTGCCAAAGACATTATGATCATCAGGTGAAAATTATTCCGGTAAGTAGTGCATTGCCCGCTCATTTTTTCTTGTGTTTAGCTGCTAAACAGATATATAGTCAATTTTATACAAGAGTTGCGCCTTCGGGCTTAATCGCTCTAATTCGGGAACAATCGTGTATTATTATGGCTGCTGCTCATGCGCGCCTTGGCAAGCGAGAGAGAAGCCGGCCGCGTGGTCGGTCATACATTTGTACTAGTACGATTACTCTGTGTTAAAAAATCTCTGATTATTACATTTTTGCATCTTGCATTCTATTTAAACGTTTGAAATATTAAACAAATAAATTTAATTAACTTCATTAACGAATTAACTTATCAAATCACTTAAATTCATACCAATAATTTAGTGGGTTAATTATTTTTAATAATAAAAGTAAATTCAATTAGTGACGCCACGCGGCCATTAGGCACGTCGCATTAACAAAAAGGATTGCATCAGCCACGCGGCTTTAGTCAATTCATATTTAACAACGCAATATTATCAATAAATGACATTTAATTTATTATTAAACATTTAATTACGATTAATTCTGATTAAATTAATAATAATTCGATATTAATATCGAATTATTTAACTAGTTCCCACGCTAGAAAATCAAATCTTTTAACTAGTTCCTACACGAGTATTTTTAATCATTAACTAGTTCCCACACTAGTATTCTTAATTCAATTAAGTCAGCTCAGTCAGCCAGTCCTCGTGTTCACCGTCGGCGACAGCAGTGCCAACACCAAAACGTGGTCCAGGTCGTCCAACAAATTCTGAACAACTGTCCAAGACACAAGACAACTCCACAGTCACACTACCTGACCTATATCGCAAATACTCCTACAAACGCGAACGGGAACCTGATAACCACAGCCCACCGTTAAAACTACAAAAAAGTATGTCTCCTCCTTTAGAAGTTCCTGGCAGCTCCCCTGCGACTACTCAAGTAAATGAAACATCACCCCAAGTGTCAGTTGATATAAACAACTGTAACTCCTTCGCTGATCTACTGAAGGTGATGCAGATGTGGCGCGCAGAAGATCAAACGAACTCAATAAAAATGAAATTAGAGCTCAGCCAAGAGATAGCATCCATTGAAAAATCCTGCTTCGATAAGATTCAAGCAGCCAAAAAAGAACTTGCCGCTGATAACCTGGCCCTACGTACAGCTTTAAAGGGCGTTGAAATCCGACTTGAAGTATTCGAGAGCAAAACCCCTACAGCAACTTCCGTCGAAACCGGTCTTCCCCAGAACTTAAACAATTATAGTGTGGGAACTAGTTAATGATTAAAAATACTAGTGTAGGAACTAGTTAAAAGATTTGATTTTCTAGCGTGGGAACTAGTTAAATAATTCGATACTTCATCAATTTTTATAAACTTAGCGAATCCATGGCCTCTTCATTGTAAGAATAGGTTATCACGCCATGTATCTAATGATTCATTATAAACTGTATTGCCACTTCCCGAGTCGAAATTTAAAGGCTGCATTGGTCCTCTTAGTCCGAAATAAAACCATTTTAGAGTCCGGTAACCCCACGAGCTCCTACATTGCACCCCGGAATCCGAGTTTTTGGTGATAGGTACCAATTTGAACCTCTAAGTCCGATATTATTAAAATTAAGTCCTACTATTGCCCGCTTAAACCGCATAATAAATTTAATGCAAGTAACAACTCAGATAAATTTTATATCCAACTACTTATATAAATAAATTTATTGCGTGGATAATCAATTATTAAAGTTGCATGCACTGACAGTCTTTGAATTTTTTTAATGAAAATTATAAACAAAATATAATGAATTAAAAAAAAATATTTTTAAATATTTAAATAATTCGATCAATATTTTAGTAAATTAATAAACACATCTGACAAATGTTATAGATTTTTTTGACAAATTATTTGAAAAAAAATTAAAAAAAAAAAAACTGACGGATGTCATTGAAAAAATTATTTTTTAATTATTTAATAAAAATAAAATTACTTTAAAATTATTCTTCATAATAGGGTAAAGTCACCAGTACCCAGCCCCGACCTATTTCCAGCCTTCAATAGTATATGCCATAGAAAACTATAGTTTCCTTATGGCGGGAGCTGGAAATAGGTAGGGGGCTGGGTACTGGTGACTTTACCCTATATCGAAAAATTATTAAAATTAATTCAGTAGAGATTTAATTAATTTGTGACCAATCAATTGTCAAAAAAATTGACAAGTTTAAAAAAATTTTAAATGTAATATTTCTTAAAAATAATTATAATAAAAAAATATAATGAAACTTTTTTTGAATAAATATTAACTTGTCTATTTTCATATTTTTTATATAAATTATAAGAGTGGATTCGCTACTTAGTTGTTAATTATTTTGCAAATAGTTTTTATGCATATCAAAGTAGATATTATTTATGTACATAAATTTAATATCCAACTAATTATAAATAAATTTAAAGCGTGGAAAATCGATTATTAAAGGTGCGTGCACTGTCAATCCTTGAATTTTCTTTAGTGAAAATCGTAAGCAAAGTATAATAAAGTAAAAAAAAATTTTTTTTAATAATTTAAATAATTCAATCAATATTTTAGTGAATGAAAAAACACATCTGACAAATGTTATAGATTTTTTTGACAAATTATTTGAAAAAAAATTTTTTTTTTTAAACAAAAAAAAACTGACAGGTGTCATTGAAAAATTTTTTTTTTAATTATTTAATAAAAATAAAATTGCTTGAAAATGATTCTTAATAATATATCAAAAAATTATGAAAATTAATTTAGTAGACATTTAATCAATTTGTGACCAATAAATTGTCGAAAAAAATTGACAAGTTTAAAAAAATTTTAAATGTAATATTTATTAAAAATAATTATAATAAAAAAATATAATGAAACGTTTTTTGAATAAATATTAACTTGTCTATTTTCATATTTTTTATATAAATTATAAGAGTGGATTCGCTACTTAGTTGTTAATAAATTTGCAAATAGTTTTTATGCATATCAAAGTAGATATTATTTATGTACATAAATTTAATATCCAACTAATTATAAATAAATTTAAAGCGTGAAAAACCGATTATTAAAGTTGCATGCACTGACAGTCTTTGAATTTTTTTTATGAAAATTATAAACAAAATATAATGAATTAAAAAAAAAGTATTTTTAAATATTTAAATAATTCGATCAATATTTTAGTAAATTAAAAAAAGACATCTGACAAATGTAATAGATTTTTTTTGACAAATTATTTGAAAAAAAATTTTTTTTTTTAAACAAAAAAAAACTGACAGGTGTCATTGAAAAATTTTTTTTTTAATTATTTAATAAAAATAAAATTACTTAAAAATTATTCTTATTAATATATCGAAAAGTTATGAAAATTAATTTAGTAGACATTTAATTCAATTTGTGACCAATAAATTGTCGAAAAAATTGACAAGTTTAAAAAAGTTTTAAATGTTATTTCTCAAAAATAATTATAATAAATAAATATAATGAAACTTTTGTTGAATAAATATTAACTAGTATATTTTTATATTTTTTATATAAATTATAAGAGTAGATTGCTACTCATTTGTTACTTAATTTGCAAATAGTGTTTACATTTATTAAAGTACATATTTTTTATACATAAATTTTTTTTTTTCACAAAAATGCAATCACAAATGCTACAAAAATATTAATTATCCCATATAAATGTTATTGCTACTCTCGTTCGTAACTATTTATGGGCATTGCAACATAATTTTGATCCTGAATTTTTATGTAAAAGCAAGGTGTAATTAGTGATTCAACTTGTAACAATACTTTTCCCCAAAATTTTAAACAAAATTTTACCGGTGGCGGAGATACCGGC